AGAGCAAGAAATCACCCCTTAGGGTGGATGGCCATGCTGCAATCCCTTCTCCTCTATTCTCCTCTCAGGATCTTGGGCACACACACACACGTGCCCAGCATGAGTTTAAGCCATCGGGTCTGGGACTTGAACTGTGGTCGACTACATGGGAGTCCAGCAATGCAGCCATTACGCTAACTGCTGGTCTTTTTTGGAGACTGATATTTCAACATGACAACATGATTAAAGATGTTTATACGTTTCTCAGAATTGTGTGCCTTTTTTCATAATATAGTACCTGAATATTGCTAACGGCATTAAATTAATATTAATAAACTCAATTCTATCTAGATCTTTTTTGTTTCTTCTAACGAAAAAGATTAATTAAAAACCTGGGCTTTTTATTTCTTCTAAGAAAAAAGATTACTTAAAAACCCAGCTTTTTGTTTATTTTAAGAGTAGTATCAGAGGGCTACCAAATTAGCAAAGTTAAACACTTTTCACCAGACAACCAAGAGACTCCTATTTCTTTTATAAAATCTTTGCTTCAATTCTGATTTCCCCATGTTCTGACTGTTGGAGACTCGGGACAGGATCTGCTTCTTCAGCAGCCGGTAGTTTAAAATGCTGCAGAGTCTGTTCCACAATGGCAGTACAGTCACCTCAGGGACGAAGGTGTTTTGATGGCTGAATTCTGGTCAAATAAACTTTCTGATAATCAGTAGTGACCTGTGGAAAAGCAGACTGTCCTGTGGTTCCACCTGTCCACAGCTAAGTTGAATAGGCATGTTTTACTGGTGGCTAAAAAGACAACCAGTTGCTGGGAGTCTCTGAGGATCCTGAAGCTCGGAATATCTACAAAGGGCTCAATGAAGAGGTAAGCTGCTCTGGTGATGGTATTCACATGCACGCATGACATTCATCAGGGTATGATTGGAGATACGTGGTGAAATTTACATAGTTTGTGCTGGGACCAGCAGATGGCATAATGGTTACGTTGCTGGACTCATGTAGTAGACTGCAATTCAAGTCCCTGGCCTGGTGGCTTAAAACTCATACCAGGTGTGTGTTTCTGTGTGACCAAACTCTCTAGAGGAGAATGCAGGAGAAGGGATTATGGCATGGCCATCCTCCTGCGGTGGTGGGGGTGGGGGGTGATTTCTTGCTTTCTGTCTCTCGGTCTCTCTCTCTCCAGTGAGTGCACATGCCTTTTTAACAAAAATCTTCTCTTAAAACAAAACAAAACATATAGTTTATGCCATTGTAGGGATAACCCCAAGGGGTATGTCATCGAGGCAAAAGTTGCTTTCTCGCTATAGGCAGTATCATGCATCCAGTACACTTTATAGAGACCATCTCATTGCCTGATGCAAAGTCCCATGGACCCCACATACCACTGTCTTTTTTTTTTTTTTTGGAGAGCTTTTTGTTATAAGGAGCGTGTGCCCGCCAGAAAGACAGAGACAGAGAGACAGAAAGCGAGAAAGCTGAGGAAAACATTAAAACATTGTTGAAGATGGTGTACTTAGGCTTGTGGAGCGCCTCAGTGATGAAAGGTACTCCACTGGGAGCAAAAGTCAATGAGTTCTGATCAGGATGTTCATGCCCTGCATTAAAATGTCGCCATCCTTGGATCTAATCTTTGTCTTCGTTTCTGTGGGCAATGTCACATATTCCACATCCCCAAAGCTTTCCTGACTGGAAGGAGAGGTCTATTGATTTCTATAGGTAGTGTACTTCTGTAAGTCACAACACTTGTCTTCAAAATAATGCAATACAGGGATGCCAAAATCTAGAGGAGGAATCAATTTCAAGCTAGCATATAGTACCAGAGAAATTTTGTGTGCAGTGTGCACCAGTACTGCCCTCTGGACAGTGCTCCTGGACTTTCCTCTACATGGTTCCTTCTGATTTGATCTGCCACCCACTTACCACTGCCACTACTTGTGATGAATTTATCCAGGAACACTAATTGGCTTTCTGGGCCATAACACCAGCTGTAATATGGGTCTGCAATAGCCACAGTCCTTTGAAACCCTGGCAAGATGGTTCTATGCATAATGCAAAGTGTTGTTTAAGCCATGGATGGCCAAAGTGGTTGATGCCAAAGACCTGTGAAGCAGAAACATATACTGGAAGAATAATCTAGTGGTCTAGCCTCCATAAGCAACTCCTTCATTGGAGGGAGCCATCTGTCACCTCTTGGAGGAAGATGAGAAATTTCTCCATGATGGTCAGAACTTGTTTGGTCCATAAGTAGACTTCTTGAAGATACTCTTGATTCGTCAGAACTAGACTTCCTGTGAGCAAAGCCATACAGTTGGTATGCTGATGACTGTGCATGTATTAAAATCCCCATCCTCTCCTGTATGTAGTTTTGTATATATATCCCAAGGCATTGACAATCACTTCAAGAAACTTCTCCTGCTGTGTCCTGCTCAGGTAGTTGTACAAGAAGTCAGTGGCAAAACCAACCAAGGAGTGAGCAAGTGGCACCTAATCCCAAGAACCATCTTTCAACAACCCAAAAAAGTATGTGAAAATCTGTGATATTTAATCTGAATATGGATTTTTTTCTTTAAATTGCAGTGAATACAGTAAGAAGAAAAAAATCTACCAACTAGGCTGCCCTGCCATTCTCTCCATGTAGCCTTTGGCCATGTCTTGGACTTCAATGTTCTCTGGATATAGCATACAGAAAGAACATTGCCAAGACACTCAAGTTGTTTCTATAAATTTCATTCTGGCAGGGCTGCAGTCCTTGGGATCCCAGGGAGGGAGGTATCCAAGGGGCTGGACAGCATGGGGTGCACAGCCTCAGTGAGCAGGGCTGCAATGTGCTTGTGCGAGCTGGTGGCCCTGAGTTAGAGCTCAGTCATCTCATTCCTGGAGAAATAAAGCACTGGGTGGCTGTCATACTTGGCACTGGTGAAGGGAAGCATGAATTCTGGGTTCTTGTCACTGATGTAGGCTGACATGAAGCAAAGAAAATACATGAAAAACATACCGGGAGCTCCCCATCCCCACGTGTGAGTCTTCATCTTGGCATCAGATCTCCAAATCTCCAAGGCAGCCAAACAATCTTCAAAAGATCCACTCCTTGGTACACTCGGTCCTCTCTGGCATCACCTTCCTAGCCTTGACCCAGCTCCCCTCGCTCTAGGCAGCCTGGGCCCTGGGCCTCTCAGAGTGGAGCCTTCAGTATATCAGCTGTGCCATGGGTGCTAAGTAGGCGCCATGCCCCAGGATGGACTGCTCCCCTATAGGTTTTAGTTATCCAAATGCATAATTTGGGCGCCTGTTTCTGTTTCTCAATTCTCTTTTATCTTTCATAATTCCCTGTCCTTTTGTCTGTGCTTTAGCCAGACTAAATTACTTTGAATTTGTTCAAAAGGCTTCATTTTGTCTTACCTCCAGGTGTTCGTATATGCTGTACATCCAAATCTGCATCCCCTTATTTCCCATAACTCACGGTCTTAGTCATCACACCGGGTCAGCATGGGTATTTCTTCCTTGATGAAGTTTTCCCTAATTCTTCCCAAGGCTGAGCCAGGTAAACAGGTGTCTCATCCTGTGTACCCTGTCACGTTCTCCATTATCACGATGCTTATGATAACTGTTTCTCTCTTTGTTTTTATCCTCCATTAGAATACCAGTTAGTAAAGGCAAAGGTCACCACTCTATCTTTGGCATCTAGCATGCTGCTAGCATACGGTACATCTCAAAAAATACTTGCTATTATAAATCTGTTGCTTCAAGAACTATATGACAGCTCAAAAGTAAAATATTCTAACATAAAAACTTATTATATAATAAATGTATACCTCTTATAGTCTACATTAGAACTCAAAGAGCACAAGATCACAGGATACCGGATCCTTCTTTCCTAATATATGGCTAGGACCAGTGAAATTTTTGCAAAAGACAAAGAATGTCTTTGGAATTCTTTAATCTCTCTGCATGCATCTCTCTTCAATCTCATGATGCTGCTGCCCTAAGTATGAATATTCATAAAGATCTATACTTCTGTCATGCTTCTGAACATGAAAAGACAACCAAATGCAACAGCAAATGAATCTTAAAATCATAAGGTTATATGGGAAAGCCACAAGGAAAACGAAGGAAGTTATTAGCATAAAAGTCAGAATAGCAGTTATTCTTAGTGAAGAAAGGAGTTAAGCAGAACAGATGTCTAGGACATTTCTGTGGCGCTACACTGTGCTACTTCTTAATTTGGCTGGTGACTAAATAGTATTTAATCTATAAGTATTATCCAACATACATTAAAAATACCTTTCTGGGGCCAGATGGTGGCACAGTGGTAAAAAAAGGACTCCGTGCACAATCCCACATGGAAAGGTTCCATGTTTCCATCTGGAGATCTCCCTGGTCCCATGGTCCAAGCTGGGTGAAACTAGGGGCAGATCAAAGCATCAAGACCCACAGGGAATACTATCTGTCTGCTTTTCTTACTCGTGGCAGAAATACAGTTCAAAAACATATTTCTGCAAACATATTTTATATGCATAAACAAACATGTATGCAGAAATATACAAAGTCAAAAAAGAAAACAATCAACACAGTAACTAAACAAAATAATAATATTATCGAAATAGTGGTTCAAAATTTATTTGAACTACTATGAAAAATTTCTTCTCAAGACTCAAAAGATGAAGTGAGCTTAGGATTTTAGAGGCCTCACTATAGAAAAGACTATGGTGTTACCACGGGTAATTCAAAATTCAGTACTAAAATGTAAAGTAAGTGACTTAATTTTATTTGGGAAAAATAAAAACACTTCTGAGAAAGCACACCCCAAAATAGTGTGCAGGGCATGGTACACTGCAATCCCTTCTCTCCTTATCTCCATCCTGTTGGAATTTTGGGCATGTATGGACTCACACCTGGCATGTCTTTCCAGCTGTGGGGGCTGGGATTCAAGCCTCAGTCAGTCACATGGGATCTGGTTCCCTTGGTCACCATGTCATGGGGGCAGCCTTCAATATCTCTGTTTTTATTACCTGTTTTCCCGTTCATACATTTCCCTAGAGGCACTTCGCAGTTGATCAATTTCTTGATTGGTTTTCAATCTGATTTGTTCCAGTTCATCACGTAATTTATTTTCATATTCTGTTTTATAATGATCTCTGCAAGAAGTCAAAAGGAATATTCATGAATTTCTTGTGTTTTAAGATTTTAACAGCTTATACCAAGTATGCCCCATAAACTGTTACTTGAAAATTTAACTATCTGATACAAGGATTTTTAATTCCTTTCTAGGAATAATGTTCCAAATTAGTTCTAAGATTTCGCCCTGCTAAACATATTGTCCCAAAGGCTTGGTTACTATACAAAATAGCAGTAATTGTTAGATAATTATTTGTCTCCAAAAATATTTTAAAAATAGATTTTTTTTTTTTTTAAATTGGCCAGATAGAAAAGAGAAAAAGAGAAAAAACACCCTTTAAGGGCATATAATGTAACTCTTGCCCTGCTGTTATGTGTCTTTCATATATCTCTTCTCCTCCACTTCTTCCTCTTCTTGGGATTTTGGGCATGCACACATGTCCAGTGTGTTTTTCAAGCCACCAGGTCTGAGCCTCATACCACACAGTTGGCCATGTGGGATCCAGCTCACAAACCAATAGGCCATAGGCTAGTCTGATGAATAGTTTCTAATGCATATGGCCAAGGCTTGAAAAACTGATGAACCCAAAATTCCTTCATTTAAAACTAACAATCTGATCTGGCACATATTGAGACAGACACATATTAACAAAACTATAAAAACAAAATGACTTCGATTACTTATAAAAAACCTTTCCTTCCAAGCACAACAACATGTAGTCACACTGTGATTTTATATTTAGCAAAGTTAAAGCATTATACATAGGATATGAGCTATAAGAGGAGAAACTGATTTTACAATGTCAGTGGCTAAGATGTTTAGAACTTTGGAGCTTTTGTTTAATTTTTGATGTGCTGATAAAAATAAATAACTCGGGGGCTGGCAGGTAACATAGTGGTTAAGGGTGCTGGACTACCACATGGCCAGCCGTGGTTCAAGTCCCAGACCTGGTGGCTTGCTTTCTCACTTTCTCTCTCCCTCAAATATAAATGAATAAATAGTAAATAAAATAATTCTTTAAAATAAATAAATAAATAACTCGAGAATTTTAAGGGCTCTTAGTATAAAGAAACATTTAGGAGACATGGCAGGGCTGAAATGCAGGGAGTGTGGTAACCTAAAACAGTATATAATACGACCTCTTCATTCTTCCTTTCTGTTTGACATAGTCAGGAAATGGTCAGCAGACTCCGATTTTCTTAAAAAAGATACTTTTATAGAGATACTAATATATTTTCTTTCAAAAGTTACTTCGAGACCTTAGTCACAGAGAATTAAAACAATCATGTCATAAGAAAAATAATAACTTATAGTACTTATCTCCCTATCTATAAGAAATAGCTTTTTATTGTTATGGAAAAAAATACCTTGTTTTTAAAAAAATCAAATAGAGGATACAGCAGGTGTCATAGTGGTTAAGGCTCTAGACTCCCACATGGCTGGTCCTGGTTTGATTCCTGGACCCAGCGGCTTGAAATTCACACCAGGTGTATGTGCATATGTGCCCAAAATCCTGAGAGGAGAATGGAGGAGAAGGGATTGGGGGATTCTCTCTCTGTCTCTCTGGCGAGTGCATGCATCTTATAGCAATAATCTCTAAAAAAAAGAAAAGAAAAAAGAACAACAACAACAACAAAAATAGAAAAGAGTATCTTATAAGGAAACAAAATGAAGTATTATCTTAACATTATCATATAGACCAGACCTTAAAAAAGTCGCTTAGCTCACCCAAAACCAAAAGTTCTCTAAACAAGGACACGTCCATTTTTATCTATTAATGCAAAATAATTATCATAAATGATAAGTTATATATATTTATATAAGTATGGGAAATAATATAATTCTTGCCTGGATGTGACATATTTTTCATACATGTCTTCTCTAGCCTTTTTGGTTTCTTCGAGTTGAGCTTGAAGTCTTTCAAGGCGATCCTCTTCGTGGGCACAGCGAACACTAAGCTCCATGTTTTGGCGATTGAGATAGTCTTTATCTTTTTGCAGTAAAGTAACAGTCTGTTGCAAGGTGGTTACCTATGCATACGTAGAGACAGCGCTTGAGACAACGCCATCTTACATCTCACAGTCAACTACATTCATTTCTTTCATTTATGCTGTTATTGACCACATAAAAATTCTACTTTTAAAAAGGATAATATAAAAAGAGCAACCAAAGTCTCTTTTTTGGGGGATAATTATAACACATGAAAAATGAACAAACACCCCTCCCACAATGTTGCCCAATTAGTGGGCTATTCTCCACTACCAGCCACTAATAGTGTACAATAAAGTATAAGTTACTCTATTTGGAAGCTTACCTCTTTTGATAACTCATTTCTTTCTTTAGCTTGAGTTACATGAGAGGCTTCAAGTATTTCATGTTTTCTCCTAAACTCAGTTACTTCCTGTTCAAGTGCATCACGTTCACTATTAAAATAAAAGTGAAATACACATGTGAATTTTCTTTGTAAAAATTTTTCCAGAGGGCATGTGGGCTTGCTGGAGAGAGACAGGGAGAGAGGGAAAGAAAGTGACAAGGCATCCACCATGAAGAATAGTCACCCTACAGTGCCTTCCCCTCCATTTCTTCCCCGCCCCCCCTCCCCCTCTTTTGGGATTTTGGGCCTGCACATGCACACATACTTAGAATGTTTCTCAAGATGCTGGGGCTGGTGGCTTGAAAATCACACTGGGCACAAAGCTAACCCTTTAGACATGTGCACTTCAAAAGGGGGGATATAACATTTCTATGGGGGGCCAGCCCATGGCATGGTGGTTAAGGCAGCTGAATACCACATGGCTGATTGCAGAATTTGAGTCCCAACTTCAGCTTCTGGGAAAATATGCTGAATGCATTTGTGTATGCAAGTCCAAAATCCTAGTGGGATAGAGAAATGATGAGAGGAGATTGCAATGTGACCACACTTCACTGGAGGGTCTTCTCCCTTTCCCTCTGTTTCTCTCTGGCAAGTGCACATGCCTTCTAGCAAAACACAAAACAAAAACCTCACAGCCTAGCATTCAGACTGCATAGCAGGTATAAAAGCATTCATATTTTATTCACAAATTGTTTGTACCTAGCATTCAGACTGCATAGCAGGTATAAAGGCATTCATATTTTATTCACAAATTGTTTGCGATTACCTAGAGATTGTAGTTTCTATTTTCATATAGCTCTCTCCCCAGAATGTGAAACCAAAAACTAGACCATAAACCTACAATAGGCATCTTAATGAGTAGAGATAGATCTATTAACTTTTTTTTTTTAAGAGAGATTTTTGCTATAGGGCCTGTGTACTTGCTGGACAGACAAGGAGATACAGAGAGACAGAAAGTGAGAAGTCACCCCTAGGGGGGATGGCCACACCACAATCCGTCCTCCTCCTCCACCCCCCAATCCCTCTGCCAAGTACACACATGTGCCCAGTGTGAGTTTTTTTTTTTTTTTCTTTTTGAGAGGTTTTTGCTATAGGGCGTGTGCGCTCGCCAGATAAACAGAGACAGAGAGACAGAAAGCGAGAAATCACCCACCAGGGGGATGGCCATGCCGTAATCCCTTCTCCTCCATTCTCCTCTTGGGATCTTGGGCACACACGCACACGCGCCCGGCGTGAGTTTAAGCCACCGGGTCCAGGATGCGAACTGCAGTCGACTACATGGGAGTCCAGCGACATAGCCATTATGCTAACTGCCAGTTCCCCCAGTGTGAGTTTTCAAGCAGCTGGTCTGGGACTCGAACCACAGCCAACTACACGGGAGTCCAGTGATGTAACCATCATGCCATCTGCTGGTCCTAAGATTTACTAACTCTTAAATACTCCTCTCAAATCAGAAGCTTTCTATTTTATTTCATTGACCTACTGAGATCAGTGATAGAGAAGACTATTAAGAATTGTTTTTCAGGGACCAGCAGGTAGTGTGGTAGTTAAGGTGCTAGACTCCCACATGGCCAACCATGGTTCAAGTCCTAGACCTAGTGACTTGCTTTCTCACTCTCTTTCTTTCTCTCTCTGGTTAAAGTGAAGAATAATAAATAACTCTTAAATAAATAAATAAATCATTGTTTTTCAGGTTGCTTCCATGATATAGTGGTGATGGGCTACTTAAGAGAAATTTGGTCCCACATGGTGATCATGGTGACTGTGGCTTGAGTCCCCAACCAGGTAGGCCTGAGGCACTCCAGCACATGTGCAAGTGCCCAAGATCCTAGAGGCTGGAGGACTGGAGGCAAGGGAATATGACATGACCATACGCTGGGGAAAGTGCTTTCCTCTCTCTCTCACTCTCACATGCTCAATCATGAATTAAAAACAAAATTTGGCTTTCCATAACCTTTTAAATACCTCACTTAGAAAGCTGTTTTTTTCAGGAACCAGCAGTTAGCGTAATGGCTATGTCACTGGACTCCCACGTAGTTGACTGCAGTTTGCGTCCTAGACCCGGTGGCTTAAAAATCACACCGGGCACGTGTGCGTGTGTGCCCAAGATCCCGAGAGGAGAATGGAGGAGAAGGGATTGCGGCGTGACCATCCCC